GATTCCTGCAGAAGCTGACGCTCTCACGGTTCTGGAAGCTAGAAGTCTCAAGTGAGACATCAGCAGGGCCGTGCTCTCTGAAGACCCCTTCCTTGCCGCTTCCAGCCTGCCGGCCAGCCTTACCATTCCTCAGCTTATGGCTGCTTTGCTCCATCCTCTGCCTCTGTTGTCACATGACATTGTCCCTAGGTCTGTCACCAAATCTCCCTCTCTTTAGGACACCAGTCATTGGACTGATGGCTCACCCTAATCCAGTATGACCTCATCTTAACTAATTACATCTACAAAGGCCCCATTTCCCAATTAAGGTCATATTTGCAGGTTTGGGATTGGAACGACTTCAGGGGTGGGGAGACTAGAGCACATCTCTCAATAGGTTTCTTCCCTAATGAGGCCGTGAAAGGCCATATAGCAAGGTGGTTAAAAATAAGCTCTGGAGTCAGGCTTTCTGGCTCTACAACTCTCTGACCGTGGGCCCAAAGCAAGGTTTTAACTTCTGCAAACCTACTCATCCTCATCTGGGAATAATAATAGCAGCTACCCTGAAACCTCGATGAGGATTAAATGAATTAAAGTATGCTAGATGCATTGTAAACATGTCATGTTTCTCTTCTCGGGTAGGTTATAATTGGATCCCATTTTGAATGGCACCTCTTCTCCACTATGTTCTCTAATTGGTTACTGCTGGTGACTAGGGAAACTATCACTTTTGTACAGTGATCTTCTAACTGCGATCCTACTAAATTGATTCTTTTCCAGTGGTTTCTGCCTCCATTTTCTTGGTAGCCATCACATGACCTTTAAGGTCCCCCTCCCCCCCAAAATACCAGAATGTAACACTAAATGATTGTGGAACTCCATGAATGTCTTCAGGGAGAAATGATGTTCCAGAAGCACCTCATATACTTGTCTATACCAGAGACGGGTTTAGATATTCTGCTTCATGCTCACGACAGGATGAAATGTGTCTCTATTTTCTGTACTGTTATGTTACTTGATCCAGACCAAATCAATTCAGCTTTATGTGGACAGGGGCCAGCTTTTAGTCCTCACAGATTCCCATGTGTACAATGCCTGGTAGATAGGGGGTTGGTACTTCTGACTAACCCTGTGAGCAGCTCCTCTGCAGTCAAAATGACTGACACAGGGATGGAGGGTTCTTCCCAGTCACTGCATAGTAAGAACCCTATCTCATGAATTTGCTAGCTGTTCTTTTTCCACGTCTAATCAATGAAGGGTACAGGATTATTCTGGAATGCCACTCTTTTACCCTGTATTTGAAATAACTTCTTTATATAAACAAAGTTCTTAAAATAAAGACCTCTACCTAAATCAATCCACTAAAAGACACAGGAAAGCTTATAAAGACCTGTGAAATCTGAACACCATTCAGTCAGATCCTTCTGAGCTCATTTCTTACCGTCACAAGCTCTTCCAGAAGGCCTTCTACAAAGACTACAATGGACAGCACAGTGACCAGGGCAAATCCTCAGCTGAGTGCTTGCAGCTTAGACCTGCACGATGCAGACACACGGTGCCCTTTAAAGACTTTCAGTTGAGAGATGAATAAAAGCAGACCATGCCAGTGCTGACCACTGAACTCACTGGAAAGTGACTCAGTATTCCTTTAGCAGCTTCACAAATACAAACTTGGTAAGAAAATCCAATAGCAAAACTGGAAAGGAAGTCCGCTGAACTAGTCAGCCCACAACCCATCCCCCATTCTGTGACTGCAAGCACACTTCTACAACTCCCTAATCTGAACTGAGGTGGGGGGTGGGAGGGGAGTAGCATTTGTTTTCAGATGCAATAGCTCTAGTAAGGCTCTGCATTCAGTAACAGCAAATCATGACCTTAATGAAGTTGTGTGTAGTGTTTTCCTGGCAATCCATACAGTTTAAAAAATAAATCTTCTCAAGTCTCCTTTTCCCATTTCAGCTTGAGGGCATGTTTCTGATTTCTTCTCTTTTTGGCTCTCTCTGGATGGCCTTTCAAAAGATGATCCATGTCTCTAAGATCCACCCAATACAGTCTTGAGATGTTGATGCCGATGAAGTCAAAGGGGATAAAGTTATTCAAATAAAACAGGGTATCAATATAAAAGTGACATGCTCTGATAGGTCTCTGTCATGCAACATCGCAATAAGAGGTTTCTAAGAGGTGTTCAATACTTCTGTGAATTGCTTAAGACTTACAGGACTAATAAGACTTTTCCCATTGCTCTGACAAAGAAGTGGTTCACACTCAGTATCCATAAAACCTGTTGAATTTTATCTCAATATAGCATTCCAAAAAATGCAGCAGGAAGGCAATATTTGTTCTATGTATTTATTTATTTAACACTTATTAAGTACCTACAATGAACCAGGAATTATATTTTATTGTTTAAAAAATTCAAAGCTGTAAAATACGGCCCCAGGTGAGAGGTTACCAAAAGCAGCCGGAAAGGATCAAAATTGCTCACTCCCAAAATTCTGCTTTGCAGTTCTGCTGAGGATCAAAATGCCCAGAACCGAGGGAAACCCCAAGATGGAGATGCCCCTGCCAAAGACCAAGAGAAGGAACTCGGGAGAGCCAGCCCAGGAGAGGAGCCAGATGATGGGTACAAGGCTCTGACACGGGCCTCACCTAGTACATTAAGGCATAGGAGTCATCTCGGATCTTGGTAGGATCTCCCACCTTGCTCTCCAATTTGGTTTTAAATCCCTGACTTCTTTCCCTTTTCCCAGTGTGTGTGTGTTGGGCGGGGGGGAGTAAAACAAATCAAAAAATTTCACTGGGATATATACTTATTCTCCCAATGACTTTGTTGTTTAAGTCTACTCTAAAATTAAAGTCAACAAAATGTGTGGTTTTCTTCATCCTCCATTAATGATGAGAACTGTCCATTCAAAAACTCCACTAAGACAATGTCATCCTAAATTGCAATCCGGCTTTAATTGTAGGGCATTGAATCACCTCGCAAACAAATTACAGTCACTATGATTTACCAATAGGTACTGTACTGGGTGTTGTTGGGGTTTCTTTTTGGCAAACTTAGAACAAACCAGAGAACAAAATTTAAGTCTTCACCGTCATGTAGAAAAATAAAATAAACAAACCTAAAGTATCTACCTATGTGTCAAGTGATTCATACTGCAAAAGTTAAAACTAAAATCTACACTTAACAGCAGAGTTTTAAAAATCCTTAGTGCAAGAAACATAACCAATTAATACAGATCAATACTTATTAATGAATATGGAAAATTTTCCTATACAGAGGTAGAGTCCAGTGCACAAGGCTAAAACAATATTCAATAGTCTAAACAAGACTGAGTCAGGTTTTACGGAATCCACTTTAAATTTTAAGTTATCAGACTGTATGTACATACATACAATAAATAGACTATACAATTTTTTAAAGTAGTTTAATAAACTCCACAAAATAATAGCAGATGCATTGAAATATTTACATAATTCAATTTTCAAATCTCTCTCATTCAAATAAAAGGGATAAAAATAAGCCTTCTGCTTTAAAGGCAGCAGAACCTCTTTCCTGAAATGGATCAGTAAAATAAGATACTTTACATGAGTGGAACTAATTTATGCTTGAGAGGTATTCATATTCAGCTAAGAAAATATGTCACTTTTTAAGCTATATAGATTAGGGAATATAAAATGATATTTTCTACATTTTTAGATCTCTATTTAAAGTTCTAAATCCAACTCTTACTTGAAGAGAGAAGCTGATTTTGGTACCCATACAGAGTATATCAACACCACTACAATGGAAAGATAATTAACTTTTCAGATTCTGCTTGTTTGCTTTTAAAAGTTTAGGCCAGAAAGAACTTGACAATATTTCTGGGCCAAACAGCTGTTTACACATGATACAAATCTCACTGAAACCTGACTAGCACTTTTGGTCTGGGGATCTTGGGATTTCACCTTTCTGAGTCTCTTCCATTTCCAAGGTATGTTTCATCAGAAGCAGGCATGTTTGAGGATCAGGCATATGACTTTAGGGTACCCAAGACTAATATTCCGTAGTTTCCACATTCACAGAGGAAGAAGGTGAAACACAGAGTATCTGCTGCCATTTGCCTCGCACAGATTTGAAAAGGGAAAAAACTTAGAAGCCTATCATTGTGACCCAAGAAAATATGCAAACACCCAAAGCATTATATGCTTCATTGACTCAGATTCTTAGACTTAATATCAAATTTACTCTGATATTCTATCATTAACCCTTTTATTTTACTTGATATAAAAGATTCTTATCTAGCCCATAAGGAAATTAGGGATGGTCAGAAAATGAAAAAGTATGGTCATAATTAATGAAGCATAAACCTTCACAGTTTGAATTTTTGTATAACTTTGCTAAGCACCCACAATGAAAATGCAAGTTGAGTTTTTTATTCAATCGTCCTGTGAAAAATACCTCAGTAAATAGTAACATTTTGCCCTTCAATGATCTTCCCACGGGAATAACCCACCCCCCCTTTTTTTTAAATTTTAGATTTTTAAAAAATTTTATACAAATAGACTAACTTTGATTTAAAGTAAACATATAAAAGTTGAGAAGAATATTGCTTGCAACAATGGACATGGAAGTAGAGGAATGAACTGGGCAGGGGGTACAGAGAAATGGCTCCTACTCAGTAACTGCAGGCAGACACCTAGCACTCTGGAAAAAACCTCACCCAGAGGACACCCTCTGCTGCACACTGTTTCCTTCAGCCCACAAAATCTGACTGATTTGTAACTACGACTTCAGGTCAGAGAACAAAATAAAAAAACAACTGCAAATAAACTGGAAGGCACAAGCACCCATGTGATCTAGAATTTTCTTGGGGTGGGAAATAAGGAGGGAAAGGGATACTTTTGGTTCAGCACTACAGTCAAGTTAATTTTGCCACCGTTGAAGAAAAACTGTATAAAATGAAGGAGTACAGAAATATAACAAGCGCATCCCACTTGTGAGGAAGAAAGCTCAGAAGACAGCTCACAGGAATAGTGCAGAGAGAAACAACCAGTACTATTTATTTGGATGTCTGTGCCATGGTGGGTACAAACTATATTCTCTGCTCTGTGGGACCAAAACCAAAACAGAATAAAAACAAACAAAAATCCCCCAAATCCCAAAAAGCAGCTAGAAGGAATGCAAGAAGTCTTACAGAACATACTGATCCAGATGGAGGTGGATAAACGCACACTTTTGTCTTTAATGCACATCCAACTTTGTTACCTACTGCTGTGTTTTTCCATCGTATTCATCTACAGACCAGACGGGACTTAAGAAATGGCCAAGCCATTTAACCTTTTCCCTGCCTCTACACGACTTCCCTTTCCCTTTGTTTCCTTCTCCAGGATGAGAGTCTTTTTCCTCCATGAGGGAAGTGCTGTTAATGACGATGGGGAAGGGCATGAAACAGGATTTCCAGAATACGGATTTCGCTTCCCTTGAGGCCTTGCTGCGTGGGAGTGGGCCACACAGCTTGGAGGCGGTCATCAAGGCAGCCTGACAGAGCTATGAATTAAAAAAGAAAAGGAAAGGAAAACAAAAACAAAACCACCCCCAGTCTGTCTTTTCTCACACTAAAGGAGAAACTGAGGGATGGCACGGCCTCCAGTGGGGACCCCCACGGTTAGGAGATGATGGCGGGGGACCACCTTGGCAGAGTCAGATTGTCAGCACTCGCTGACCGCTTCCTCGTGGGTCGACGCAGGTCCTTGTACTTGTCCTCACAGAGGCGAGAGATGGCCTGAGGGGCAGAAGAGAGACAATTTGGGTCAGGGCTGGACTCGGGAGCAAGTACCACTGTCCTCTAGGCGCCCTCGGCTCCCTCACTCATCAGACACCACCCACCGCTGGGTGCCAGCATCGTTCTAGGCACTGAGGACACGCCAGGCCAATACTGACAAGAGTGCCTGCCCCGGGCAGTTTCCACATGTGGGCCACTCACAGTGGGGGCCACAAAGGAGGTACAGACACAGGCCCTGTCTCCAAAGCGCTTACAGTCTGAGAAAATCATCACAAAATGTGAAACAATTATAGGACAGGGTAGCCTGGGGCTCAGCTAGACGCAGGTTCAATGCTGGCGAACCACTCGGTGGGGAGAGGGGGTGTGACCCGGGCCTATGCCTATTTCAAGTCCTGCATCCTCGTCTGCAAACGGGGTAAAGAGCACCCCGCCTTGCGCGGCTGTCGTAACGCATCAGGGCTTCGTGCCAGGCAGTGCTGGGAAGACCGCTCAGTACAGTACTTGGCGGCAGTCAGTTATCTGAAACTGAGTCAGAGCAGATGACCCCATGTCTGAGGCAACTCTAGACGACTGATGAAGAAAGGAACCGGGAGGGGACAATGTAGGAACAATTCACACTGTCCTCGTTTTCTTGATGAAGACAGTGAGACTCTCGGGGGAGCGTCTCAGCCAAGAGCAAGGCTCAGCCCTCCCTGGGGCTCGGAGCCTGGTCATGGCCCTTTCAGGGCTGCTACTGGGTGCAGGTGGAGAGCACGTGGATGACAAAGTGGGAGCCAGCTCACATCACCCCAGATGTCCTGTCCCCGTCACATTCACCTTGCCTTCTGTCAAAATGACCCAGGAGTGGGGAAGTCACCATCAAGGGACAAAGGCACAAGAGCAGCAGACCCTGATCACATCATCATGGCTCTCACTGAAGTGACAATAATGCTTCTAGCTGCTCTCCCTGCTTCCCCTTTAGCCTCCCCTTCGGCCCCCCATCACCTGAGCCTGAGCTGGCTCCCACTGTAGGTTTTGAAGCAGCTCTTCCCTCAGCCTGGAGGTTTCTGCGAGGCTAAGATGGCCCACGCTAGAGTCCTCACGCAACCATGGCCGACTCAGTGAGGCTACCGACAACGGCAACCCCCTACACCCTGCTGCTGCTTTTGTACTCACCTTCTAACATACTAGTTTACTTATTATGTTTACTGTTTACTGTCTGTGTCCTCCCAGCAGAATGTAAACTCCAAAAGGGCAGAGTCTGTCGGTTTTGTTCATGATGGTGTCTGGTAACCAGTGCCTGGTATCAGGGGACCCTGAGTGAATATGTGTCGAATGGATGTGGAAGTTCCAATCAAGATGTGCACATAACAGAGCATGCACATATCAGGCTAGGGTCAAAGTACTGGAAACCTAGGGTACTGGCAACCGATTCTCATTTATTTTCCAAAACCCACAAATGCACTTTAGAACAACGACTCCAGTGGTAGCAGGGAGGATGGATTAGAGGAGAGAGACAGGAGTTGAGGACGTCTTCCTCCAAATGACAGATGAATGAGGGCAGGAGATGGGCTAGATCACTGGGAATTCCCCATGTGAAACATACTGCATGCACTTAATATAGGTGACATACTTCAAGAGAAAATCTGATCCCTTACAGATATTAGAGCAATGATTTTTGAAAGTACATTATTTTCATGTATTTAAACTCCCTGAGATTACTGTGTGTGGTTTCTCAGCTTATAAACAGTACACGGGTCTGAATGTAATATTATAATAATGAATTAGCTATGTACGATCTTACTCTAGATTTCATAAGGCAAACTCTTAGCTTTCATCCCATCTCCCACATGCATAGAGAGATACTAATTTATTTCAAAGAGAAATGGCCAGGCTAATGAAAAGACCACTTTGCATTTGCCTTGGTTCCTGGTGCACTCTAGCGTCCACACTCTACCTTGCAACCCGCCTATCAAGTCAGCCCTTTGGTGGTACGTGCGAGCAGGTACAGAGCCTCAGGTAACAGCCACTTCTAGTATGCCTCACCCCCACCTTGCTTTCCACGATGGGGTTCAAGTTTGCTAACCAAACGGACTACGAGGGATACTGGGGTATGGAAAATAATGAAATCCCATTCCTTAAAAATTATTTCAGGGCGCCTGGGTGGCTCAGTCATTGGGCGTCTACCTTTGGCTCAGGTCATGATCCCAGAGTCCTGGGATCGAGCCCCGCATCGGGCTCCCTGCTCCGCAGGAAGCCTGCTTCTCCCCCTCCCACTCCCCCTGCTTGTGTTCCCTCTCTCGCTGTCTCTCTCTCTGTCAAATAAATAAAATCTTCAAAAAAAAAAAAAAATTATTTCGAAGAGGGGGTGCCACGTGCTTTTCCAGATAGTGCTTCTGTCCAGACCTGCAGAGGAGTGGGGGTCTGCATCTCAGGAAGCTCCGGTTCTTGGGAGGACAGAGAACAGTCTTGCCAGAACTACCAGCCCTCCTCGGCCCAGTGAGCCTGAGCAGCACTTGGTGCGGCGGCCCCTGGGGCAGGTGAGCACTCTCTCTTCCCACTCAGATAACCTGCCGGAGGTCACAGCGGGCACCAGCTACCCCGTCTCAGCCAGCCTGTGTGTCCGCAACGCGAGATACTCTCCCTCTGAGAACCACAGACCTGCTTTCCTGCAGGCTAAGCGGCCGCTTCCAGGAGCTCCACACTCTTCCCTCAGCAGGAGAGGAGCACTGCTCGGGCTGAAACAGGGCACCTGCTCACCGTGAAATCGAATCCTATTTCACGCACGTGCCCGCAAGAGTCTAACACTTGTCTTGGGGCACCTCCTTCAGAGGAAGGGTTTTCCATATCTTGCTCCAGAGAAATGGGAGACTTTAAATGAGCAGTTGCATCCCAATGGCGAGCACACAATTACAGCAGAGTGACCGAGTTCGGACAACCTCACTGGGTTTTTATTTTAAACACCATTCTCCATATCCAGTCTGTTCCACAGTTTTACAAAGTTTTTCCTTGGGATTAGCATACTATGTACTTTTTACAATTTTATTTAAAATTTTGGCTTTCTTAAGCCTGCAAACCATAATAATCTCTTTCCCTCCACCTCTAGCCTTTGTGTGGTTCACAGCTATTAACCCTGTTAGACCAGCACTCTAGCTATCCTGACCCTGTACTGAATTGGGATAACGTGTCACTCAGATTGGACAATGGGGCAGGCAGCACAGACCTCCTGGGTCTCACCAAGCTGGGGACATGACTGTACCATCGACCGCTTTGATCAAAGGGTCTATGGGATGAGACCACAACAGTGCCTGAGGATGAAGGTACAGAGGGCCTCAGCACAACTTCTCTGGAGGAAGGGGTTTCACCCTTCCTCGTTACCCCACCACTTTTCATCCACTCAACAAGTCAGACGGGAAGAGCTAGGTGCAAATAGCTATATACACAGGTCATGAGCACAAAAGTTACACAGCTTAACAGTGAGGGCCCTAAATCCAGACCAAGACCCATGGGGCTGGCCCCAGCTCTAACTGGGCTGTGGGGAAAATATTTTGAATAAAAAATAAAAAGCAGAATATAACCTTTTGGGATTCCCAATCATTAGGGTCATCTGGTATCTTTTTCCTTATAAAAGTGCATGTCGAGAAATACCTTTTTGTGAGTGTATTTTTTAAAAAACAGATCTTTATAAGATTTGAAGAATAGAATCAATGCACGTTAAATAAAAGATATTCAGAAGGTTATTAAAACTATGGTTGGATGAATTACAATCAACTAAATAAACTGGCCAACTCTAAATCCAGGATAACCTGTCTATATTTCATAACAACACACAGTGGGGAAAATGAGCGTGGTGACCTCCCACTTCCGGGAGACCCGGATGAGGCATCTGCAATAGTGCATCAAAAACCAGTACGTGAAAGCATCTTACCTCAAGCTTGTGAGCCCTCTCCCTGCTCAGGGGCTCCAAGGGAAAGCTCAGGTTGTTTGCTTCTGCCAGAGAACGAAGATCAAAATAATACTTGGCATAAACACTGGAAGGAACATTGATGTTGAACTGGAGCAATTCAAGAAACTGTCGCTCTAGCTCATTCCTGCAAAGACAAAAACAGCACATGTCTAGCTGCCATATACCAGGCTGCGTGGCCCACCAAGGCAAGCCGCTAGAGACCAGGCTCCAGAAAACTGCAACCTCCAGGGAGAAAAGCTATCTAATTAATTGCCTGGTTGGACACCAGAGTTGCAGTTTAACCACCAAATGGGTACTAAAAGCCAAATGATCAAGTGCCCAGAAGGATGAGGCCTGATTAGTTGGGACGATCACCAGGAAGTGCTTCAGGGTGGTGCGTTTCATTGAGACCCAGCCACACACACAGCAGGCTCTGGCTGCAAATCCCAGCACAAACCATCAACCCTGGGGCAGATGAAGCAGTCAAGAGCTGTCAAGTGGAGCCTAGTGAGGGGCCCACACAGGAGCCCAGGGGAAAAGCCTCTGTTACACCTAGAGGCCTGTCTTTCCTCAGTGGCCTTCCCCTTCCCTACCTCCTAGGAGAAGAGTGGAGGGACTGCTGTGGGGGCTTCCTTAGGCAAAGCGGGGAGTAGGGGAACGAATTGCAGCCCTGGACTCACAAAAAGGGACCCCCGCCAACTCTCAAGACTGAAAGCAGTAGTCCCCACACCTGAGCCTGCATCTAATCACATGCAGGGCTCGTTAACACAGACTGAGGAGCCCACCCCAGTCCTGGTTCAGCGGGTCGGGGGGTGGGCCTGAGAATGTGTCTTTCTAACAAGCTCTCACGGGATGCTGATGCGGCTGGTCCCAGCGCAAACTTCTAGAACCACTCACCTCCACAGACTGGTCAGTAAAGGAGCGAACACAGGTATTAAGATCCATCTGGTCGACCCATTTATAGTTTGATGAAAATGAATGATGGGTAGGCAGAATAAATTCTAAAACTTCTATTTGGAGAACTTCCCCATGTCAATTATCTTTTAGATCAGGTTCATTTCTTGACAGTTAGTACCCGGAGGAACAAAAGTCCTCAGCGATGGATCTGTTTGTTGAGCACCGGTGCTAAGTTGGGCACGCAGTTTTAGCATCGTCTCCCCCTGGAAGCACCCTGTGCTCCCAAGCACGCTACACAGCCCTCTATTTCTGTCCCTTATCAGACTCCACTGCAGGTGTCACCTTGACTCAGTGTCCCTGCTTGTCTCCTCCTAGCCAGAAACCATGCCACCTGGCCCCTATCACAGCACCTGACATACAATTAGTGCTCAATAATTACCCTTACTGAATGGAACAGGCCAAGCTCAGCTTGGGTGGAGGGATGGAGGAAAGCTTCCCATAGAAGTAAGAGATGAACTGAGTTTGGAAATACAGAGCTCTGGTGGAAAGGAACAAGGGTTGGGGCAGGGGATTTCTGGCAGGATACCTGGTCACCACCTCCTGTAAGTGAATCTGAAGGCTGACAAACCCCGCCCCAAGTGCTAGGCCTCACCCCAACTAGCCCGGACCCCCCTCCACGGACTCCACTGAACACTGAGCCCCCCGGCTCTGGTCCCTGGATGCAGATACCTGATGTTTTGCAGCCTCAGACTAACTCAGCACCATCCTGTCCCCATGGTGTACCCGAGTCCTTGTCTGTTCCTGGTGAGTCACCTCATTAAGCTAGCAGAGACTGAAAGGACTCTGTCTCAATCTCCTGCTGTGACAAGGGACAGGAGCACCAAGGTGGTGGGGAAGGAAGGCTGGGATTTGAGCAAGAGTGGATGGCTTCAGAGAGAGAAGGTACTGGGCAAATGAGAGCTGCTATAGAAGGTTTGTGGTCCTCAGATGGGAAGGCTGAGAAGTCACATTCAGGTCTTTTCATCAGAGAAACACCGTAATTTGCTGTTTCTATACAGTCTAGTGAAAGAAGGTGCATACTGTGCTAAATTTTATTCTTTTAAAGAGTCTAAATTACTTTGGCTTATTTGGGATAATTTTTACTTTAACTTTTATTTATGCCTCCTTTAAATGAGATTTAACAAGAGATCATCCTGTGAAATACTGGAACTCAGCTAAGATTTTAGTAAAACAAGAGTGTAAAAGTACTGCTAAGGCCAGAAGTGCCAAAACAGATGGGCTAGAAGGAGCTCTCCTGGGGGGCCGGGGGGGCCGTGGGGGCCGCCTGGGGACAGACTGCCGTCTGGTGGCCGAAGGCGCCACTGCAGCTCTCACTCTCCTGATGCTAAGAAAACCTTGGGGGGAAAGAAAATAGAACCAGCCTGTTAATCCTGGCCCCACTGGTAGCTGGTTAGCAATGACTCTTGTTGAGGGGGTACACTCTGACTAAAGCCAAGAGGAATCTGTTTTTGAACAGGGTGGCATTTTCCTCAAGGTTCCTTGGAAAAAAGGAACAGCCTTTCTTCAGGCTTTTCTTTTTTAAGCTCTGAGGGAAATACGAACTTTAGAGCTGTTGTGCTTTCTAACTAAGGCAAGATTTAGCAAATAAAAGTAATACCCAAAATCTGACTTTCCAAACTGCAGCAGGACATCTTACAGGGACATGTGACAGCTTGCTACGTGATAAATCGTAAAAAATACTAACAGTGACACAGAGAGAACAGGCTTGATGGATTTACTGCCCTCAACTGAATAATCACGAGAAAACAGTTCTGATTAAAAAAAAATTTTTTTTTAAGATTTTATTTATTTGAGAGAGAGAGTGAGAGAGAGAGAGCACAAGAGGGGGGAGCAGGAGAGGGAGAAGCAGACTCTCCGCTGAGCAGGTAGCCCGATGCGGGACTCAATCCTGGGACTCCAGGATCATGACCTGAGCCGAAGGCAGTCGCTTAACCAACTGAGCCACCCAGGCGCCCAGTTCTGATTAAAATTTTATAAGAAGTAAACTCAAGTCAGTAAACAAAACATATTCAGAAATATGCGTTACATTAGATCAAAATTGTAAAGAAACCCAACTGAATTAGCACAATTCACAACTTGTGAAGGGGCCTCTAAAATGGAGTAAGGAGAGTTGTTTTTATCATCTAAACATTTATCATCTATCTGCTTTTCTAGAAAAACTGGTTCACTTTAAAAACCAGCCACTGACAGTCTAGCAATCCCACTTCTGGGTATATACGCAAAAGAACTGAAAGCAGGGACTCAGAGAGATCTGTACACCCATGCTCCCAGCAGCACTATTCTCAGGAGCCAAGAGCAGATGCAGTGCAAGTGTCAGGTGTCTAGCAATGGATGAACAGATAAACAAAACAGAATATGTCCATGGACTGCAATACTTTCGACCTTAAAAAGGAAGGAAATCCCACTATGTGCTGCTACACAGATGAACCCTGAGGACACTATGCTAAGTGAAATAAGCCAGTCACAAAAAGGGGAACACTGTGATTCTGCTTCTGAGAGGCATCCAGAGAAGTGAAATTCGGAGACAAAGAAGAATGATGGCTGCCAGGGGCGGTGCAGGGGGAGGTGGGGACGTATTATTTAATGGGCACACAGTTTCTGGTTGGTGATGGTTGCACAACAATGTGAAGGTACTTAATGCCACAGAACTGTACACTTAAAAATGGCGAAACTAGTCAATTTTATGCCAGGTATATTTTACCCCACTGAAAACCAAAACCAAAGACCGGGCACCCTACACCCACGGAGGGCCAGAGGTTTTTGCTGTCTCTATCTGCTCTGCAGCGCTAAAACCAGTCTCTCGGCTTCTCCGTATTTGAGATTCCTTTGTTTACATATGAGCACGACTCTTCTGAGGTTACTGCAAAACAAAAACAAGCCAACCCCACAGTATAACTTCTTTTAACAGCATTTTTGCCCGTCAAAGTTCATCCTTCCCTTTCCCATGCACGGCACCTGTCACTAGGTGCTCAAAGCCGACGTGATGTGTGAGAAAGAGACCTTACATACAGAATACATTCACCCCATCCCAACAGCTCAAAAGTCTCAACCCATTCCAGCATCAACTCCAAGTCCGAAAATCTCATCTAAATCAGGTATGGGTGAGACCAGAGGTCTGATTCATCCTGAGGCAAAATTCCCCTGCAGGTATGAACACGTGAAACTTGCTACTGTGGAAGTTACCTGCTTCCAAAGTACAAAGGTCACACGGGCATAGGCAGACATTCCCATTACAAAAGGGAGAAATCAAAAAGTAGAAAGGGGTCTTGGGCCTCAAGCAAGTCCGAAATCTAGCAGGGCAAATGCGTTCGATTTTAAGGCTTGAGAATAATCTGTGGCTGATGCTCTATCATCCAGCCCACTGAGGGGGGCGCCTTGCCTCTGGGCCCCCTTAGCCAAGGGCAGCAGCCCCACATCCTAGCCAAGGGGGAGGCAGCCTCAGCCCCCAAGACCCATACCTGCTATGCCTGTGGGGGCAAATGGGCAGCCCTGCCAACTCCCAAACTGCCTTCACGGCCATTTCCCCTTTTGAAGGATAACACGTCACAGCAGGACAGCTCTTCGGTAGAATCCCGAAGTCCCACAGCCTTCCTTCACTTTGTCCTGTCTTGTCCCCTTCAGTTTAAACTGGCAACACTTCCACTGGGATGACTGACTGGACCATCGAGCCACACTTGTAACCTCTTTGGCAAACACTGTCCAGCCACAACACCCTCATTGTTCTCTGCAGAGCATGCTTTCTCATTTCTTGCAATAGGGATAGGCAGAGGTTGGAAAATTTGAGTTCTTCCAAATCGTCAACATCTGGTCCCTTCTTGCTTAACAGCTCCTTCTTCAATTTCTCTCTCCTCAGATTTTATTATAAGCAGCACGGAGAAACCAGGCAGGGTTTCTAAACACTCTGCTCAGAAATCTCCTCAGCTAAATATTCCAGTTCATTCTTGAACTTTCTACCTTACACAAACACTAGAACACAATTTGGCCAAGTTCTTTGCCACTGTGTAACAAGTGTTGCCCTTGGTCCAGTGTCCAACAGCATGTTCCTCATTTCTGATACTGCACTCCAGAAGCACCTTTAACAGTCCTAATTCTAGCAACATTCAGTTTGTGGTACGACATGTCTATCTCTAAGATGAGAGAAGCTTCCTCTAAAGCTCTCTGCTTCCTGAGTCCTCATCAGAATCACTTTTCACAACCATGTTTCTACCAACTGTCCCTTCAAGGTAATCTAGGGTTTTTCTAACATGTGCCTCAAAACTCTTGTCGCTTCTACACACTACCCAGTTGCAATGCCACTTCCGCATCTTCAGGTAACTGTGAGAGCAGCACCCCACTGGCCAGGATCAACATCTATAGCGGTCTACCAGGGCTGCCACAATGCAATACCACAGACTGGGGCTTAAACAGCATTCATTTACTTTCTCACAATTCTGGAGGCTAGAAGTCCAAGATGGGGGTGCCAGCAGCGTTGGTTTCTTCGGAAGCCTCTCTCTTTGCCTGCAGATGGCCGCCTTCTCTCTGTGTCCTCGCATGGCTGTCCCTCTGCTGTGTTGTGTGACTCAGTCCTACTGGATTCGGGCCCACCCTCAGGACCTACTTTAAATTAATTACCTCTTTATGACCTTATCTCCAAATACAGAGACATTCTGAGGCACTGGGCCTTAGGCTCCAACACAGGAATTCTGAGAGAACACAATTCCGCCCCTAACACTGGGTCTCTGTTGTAGCGCTCAGCGGGGCACTGGGCTTCATGCTGGTTTATGTATTCCCTTACAATACACAAAAGCTTTCTCCAAGTACGCCTAAAAACACAAGAGCATTAGGGAACAGATTTCTAGATCTGTAACTTTCATTTCTCACTGTTAAAACTGACTTGCCTGAGAACACATCAAGTATATAGGTTCTCCTTTCAGCCCCTCCCTTCCTACTCTTCTGCTCTGAGAGGGAGAGAGGCAGGCTGCTCACCCTCCCTTACTGGGGTTCACTGTCCCAAAGTGAAAAACTTGCATGGTGGGGCAAACATCTGATCACCAAGCATCTGCTCTTTTTATCTCCCTCTGAACTGCACTCCTCCCCTTTGAAGCCCTAGACCCCAATCCCATTCCTTAGTTCAGATGGCATATAAGCCTCACTTGCCTGAGGGCCTCTGAGTCTCATATTTTTATGGGGCTCCCATATGTACAAAATTAAATTTTCTCCTGTTGGTCTTATGTCAATTTAATTATTAGACCAAAGAACCTAAAAGGGGAACAAGGGAAAATTTTCGTCCCCTACATACACACATCAGCAACACAAACAAGAAAGGACAACCATGATGTCATTCCTACAGCACACAACTCAAGTGTCAAATGATATCAAGGAGTTGACAGAGTAACCTCCAATAAAGGAAACAAGTCAGCACCTCTTACCACCTTGCATCCTCCTCTGTGGTCCTAACGACAATTATTTTAGTAGTTGTTTTCACTTTGAAATATAATCAAGACTTTAATTTTTCTTACTATCAAAAACTTATTTACACTTGTCCTCCTTTTTATAATAAAGAATTATAGACCCAGGAAGGAGTTTTATAGGTCTACAGCAGAAATAGGCTCTGCAACAAAAAAACCTAAGAAGACAAACAGGTGTGCTTCACAGGGTACCACAAAAATGGGGTGCCATCCAATCAGTGACCAGAGGCAAGGAGGGTCTTAGGCTGGTGAGGAACCCAGAACTAATGTGCCCACATGACACCCCCCAGCAGCAGCCTGCACAGGCACTGTGAAGACCCCACATCCCCAGGATGACTGGGTCTAGGAACATGGAGGTGGACTGAGACACAGCTGGGCACCTCCTCCAGCCTAAAGCTTCCTCAAGGAAGCCGAACAAACAATAATTGAAAAATTTTAGCAAGAATAGTGTCAGAAGTACCTAAAAACCATAAGGAACTGTAAATAGTTTATCCTGATCATTTTCCAAAACAGCTCCTTTTTCCTGTAAGAGGCTCTAAACCTGTTTCCTGTATTCCCAGACCCCAGAGATCGTAGACAACAGGCCTGCAGGTCTCCTGTTCACAATCCTCACCTAAATCTAAGGACTGAACCATGTGAGAAATCCCAAGACCGCCCTGAGAGCTATGGGGGTAGACGCCCCTCGCCCCCAAGCTCATGGCGCTTCCACTGAGCTGGGGCTCTGAGACCAGCTGGGGGAGAACATACAGCCCTAATGAGACACATGAGAGCACCCAAGGACAGAATGCTGATTTTAACCAACTGAACTTGCAAATTCTCCCTGAAACTAAACAGAAACATAATATTTTAGCTCTTCTGCTTTTTTGAGGAGGCTCCTGCCCACAAAAGACTGGTGTGGGGCATTGTTATGAGTCTGCAGTGAGGTAAAGAGCCAGAACAAAAGCCATCACAGAGGTGACAGCATTATCTACACCTTTCTGATTAAGGTAAAGGAATGTTTTTACCCATAATATAGTTTCAGTAACTAGTTTCACAAAATCAAAAAGTGTAACCAGTACCTGTTCATGATCCTCAATGAAGAGTAGTACAGGTGTAATATTCCCCAGCCACGTCCTTCTTGTGCCCACTCACAAGAGACCTTTAGTCAAATTCATTCCTTCTTTACCATACAGACCATTCAGAGGGACGCGGTTCCTTTCCAAATGGTGCCCCACCCCCCACCCCAACACACACACTCACATGTCCTCCACCGTGATGTCTTTCAGGATCTGGCAGTAGTCCACATTCCACACAGCCTGGTCATCCCAAACCTTGGAGGCCAGCAGGATCGCCCCTAGAACAATCCGCTTCCAGTTGGCCGGACAGATGTCTATCTCTGCATATGTTAAAAGTCTTTCAAGGTATACCTGGAAAGACATGAAAATGCCAGAGCTAAAAGACTTGAGTTGTTTTGTCCTACATGCTAGCATACATAAACTCTAAAACTGTTTTGACTCCATTTCACCAGCCTTTAAACAGGGATTTATCCTCTGATCATACCTATTTTTAAAAAGTCAAAGGGCTCAGCTAGTCTGATGGGAAATGGACACCCTCCATAACTGAAGAGTGTGGATGTAGCTGGATCATAAAAGACTCTGAGGCAGGAACAAATTCCAGGTAGCACAGGTTAATTTCTCACTCTAACAACTACGATATCAATACGGATTCAACATACAACGGTACAAATTTCAACAAATGGTGTCAAAGGAACAAACCTTTTCTATCTCGTAAAGTTTTTATTTTGAGGCAATTATAAATTTACATGCTGCATCAATAAACCTATTTTTTTATTATCGTGGTAAAATATATATAACATTTACCATTTAACCATTTTTAAGTGCACAGTGCCGTAGCAGTAAGTACATTTACACTGTTGTAAAATCACCACCCATCTCTGTCCCCAGAGCTTTCTCATCATCCTGAACTAAACTCTGTTCCTACTAACCAACTCCCTGTTCCCCTTCCCCCCAGCCTTTGGCAACAACCATTCTACTTTGTCTCCATGAGTTTGACTACTCTAGGAATCATTCAATGTTTGTCATTTTTGTTCTGGCTTTTTTCTCTTAGCATGTCCTCAAGGTTCATCCAAGTATGTAGCATATGTTAAAATTTCTTCCCTTTTTAAGGCTGAATAATAATCCACTGCATACCACATTGTGTTTACCCATTTTTCCATCGATGGACATTTGAGTTGTTTCCTCCTTTTGGTTACTGTGAATAATGTTGCTGCTGTGAACACTGGTGTACAAATACCTGTTTGAGTCTCCACTTTTGATTCTTTTGGGTATGGACCCAGAAGGAGAACTGCTGGATGATATGATAACTCTATATTTAATTTTTTAAGGAACCACCATATTATTTTTCCACAGTACCTAGGCCACTTAATATTCCCACCAGCAATGCACAGGGGTTTCAATTTTTTCATATCCTCGCCAACACCAGCTATTTTGTTTTTTTTTTTTTTTTTTTAAATAATAGTCATCCTAATGAATGTGAAGTAGGTATCTCACTGTGGTTTTGATTTGATTTTTAAATGAAATAATTTTAGCTGAAGTTGGAAAATGAAACCAAGTAACATAAGATTTATAAATTGCCATAATGTAGCTTGAAGACAGATATCAGAAATACCCACAAAGTGCTTTGCTTACTTTGGGTCACAAGGTAAGAATTCCTTTTAAAGTTTTCCTTCTGATTGAGGAGGGCACATTCTGCATGGAGCACTGGGTGTTATGCACAAACAATGAATCATGGAACACTTCATCTAAAATTAATGATGTAATGTATGGGGATTAACATAAGAATAAAAAAAAAGTTTTCCTTCTGTTTATCAGCATGTTTTATACTTCTCTGAACCATGGAATTATTGTTTCTATAGTTTATCAAACACATTTACAAAGTGGAATTACTGTATCAGAAAGAAACAAACGAAACGAATCATATATAAACTTTTAAGAACCTGCTTCCTAAAACAGATGAAATCTATATAGTGTTAAATTTTTCATAGTTTGTAATGCCCATAAAGTCTTAAATATCATGTAATTTTTAAAAAGGCATATGGTGGTGGGGGCAGGGGTGTGTCTGGTTGGCTCAGTCTGCTAAGTGTCCGATTCTTGGTTTCAGTTCATGTTGTGATCTTGAGGCCGTGGGATCGAGCCCCACGTCAGGGTCCATGCTCAGCATGGAGTCTGCTTGTCCCTCTCCCTCCCCGTCCTCCCCTCTCCTCTCTTGCACTTGCTCATTCACTCGCTGTCTCTCTTTCTAAAATTTAAAAAAAAAAAAATCTTAAAAAGGCATGTGTGGGAAAAAATGTTAACACAAATACACAAATAAAGATAATTATCAGTTAAATATCAATACTCATAAACGAGATGGGAAAGTCCACACCTGTTACATCATTAGGGCTCTGGGGAGGAGACTGCACTTTGGGAAATTCTTGAGAAACAGGGCAACTAACTGGTTGATTGGGAGAAGTTTGTTAAATGACACGAATCCGTCAACAGAAGCACAGGATAATGCCAGATGCAGACTAAGAATTACATAACACAGAGCCCACAAGATGAGAACAGATACGCGAGAGACGGTGTGAAGCGCTCAAACCTAAGCCATGGGTCCCTGTGTAACAGAGCAGTAACTATGTGCCAAGCACGGTGCCCATCGCTGGAGACACAGGACAGCAGCACCGACGGCTCTGGCCACACCGTGGAAAATGGGCTGGAAAGGAGCACAGCTGATGGGCAGAGGAGACGATGCAGCAGATGGGATAAGCAAGATCAGGGTTTGAACTGGGGACATGACAGGAGAGACTGACAGTCCTATCAGACCGACCTAGAGTCCAGGGACCCCAACAACCAAGAAGGTGGGCTGCTGCAGGAGACCCCGAGGCTTCCAGCTCATACAGCTGGATAGGCGACACCTGAGACAGGGAGCCCTGCTGGGGGAAAGACAGCTACAGGTGGATGCTGTATGTCTGAGACATCCCAGAAGACGCCACCCATGTAGGCGGTACACACACCCTTGTGAAGCTCGAAGAAAAGAGCCCTCAGATAGAAATCTGAGTGTCTGCGGCACATCCCAGGTCTTGGGATGACAGCTTAGGGAGAGAGAAAAGGAGGGGCCGGAGCCTTAAGAGCCCCTCCTGTTTTAACATCTGGAGAGAGGGTAAAGGGGCAGCAAAGGAGAGGGAGGAATAATATCTGGTGTGTTCTGCTCTTAAGATATGTAATACTCGGGGCGCCTGGGTGGCTCAGTCGGTTAAGCGTCTGCCTTCGGCTCAGGTCATGATCCCAGAGTCCTGGGATCGAGCCCCGCATCGGGCTCCCTGCTCGGCAGGAAGCCTGCTTCTCCCTTACCCTCTGCCTGCCACTCTGACTACCTGTGCTATCTCTCTGTCAGATAAAGAAATTTAAAAAAATCTTAAAAAAAAAAAAAGATGTGTAATACTCTGGAGAAGAAGCTCCAAGGCAAATGGAGGTGTTTTTAAGTACCTGAATTAGGCTTACAATATTATACAGGGCATGTAAGAAGGAAATTGAAGTGGTCTCTTTCACAGCAAAAAATAAAATTAAAGATGTAAAAACACTTCAGGCAGTGACTGTGTAGGTGGAGAGGGGCAAGGAGGCCAGGGGGATGAGGTACTTAGGAGGGAGAGTAGGAAGAGAGAAGGAAAGGGGGAGAGAGCCTTATCAGTCTCTCCACCTAGTAAACCCTAAGCTCCCTGAGGACAGGGGCCACGTCTCATTCCCACTTGTGTGCCCAGCATCTAGCACAATGCTAGCAGAGAGTGTGACCTCAGGCTGCTTCATTCACGGACACACCATCCACGTAGGAGCCCTGGCTCTGGAATACAGCAACGGGAGGGTACATCTTCGTGTAAGAAATTTAGGTAAGAACATGGCCACAAAGAATGGCATCCAGGAAAGGGAACTGCATTGACAAAGGCAGAGTGGATTTAAAGGCGAAACGGAGCCCATGGTTTGTGGGCCAGGTACAGTGGTGGACGAGGAAGTTCAGAGGACAGAGTCACTGCTGTGCCAAGCGCAGACAGTCAAAAAGACCTTCCAATAAGCCCCAGGAAGTCACACAGCGTGGCATTCTCACTGCTTTATCACTGCTTTACGGCACCGTTGCGGGAGTTTCCAAACCTCTCTCAGTGAGCAGTAACATAACAGCATTTGGTTGTGACACCTACTGGCGAGAAAAAGTAGGTCACGGACTAGAGCTCCATGATCTTTTCAATGGCATTTATTATATTAAATGAGCAAAAAGAGTGAGCTAATGTTTTAGATCATGACTTCCATTTGTGTGAAAACTGTCATTCTTCAGGTAAAAATCCAGGCCAGGTCAAGCGGAATTTCAGCCAGAGTCTGTCCTGGGGACCCCAGACAGCATCTTTGACAAAGGCTGACAACTAACTCTTCTCATTCTCCATCAAGAAGGGCTACACTTGTGGTGAGCACCACATAAAGTATGAACTTGTCAAATCACTATGCTGGACACATGAAACAAATGTAACACTGTGTGTCAGCTACACTCAAAAAAATTAAAACAGTAAAAAAGAATCACAAAATATATAATAAAACTGAACTAAGGGCAGAAAACGAAGACTGGACCTAACTAAGTCTCCAGATTTTTAAAGCACGAGACAAAGAAGGTTGTGAAACAATGTTCACCCCTTACACAGACAAGGTATGCAAATCTCTCCAAGCTCCCCACTGAAATAGACTCTCACTGGCTCAGTGCAAATGGGTGGCTACTCAATTTACTTCTTACTTACTTTATACCATAGTTGGTAGACTTATTAATAAGCATGTTAATGTTATTTACAATAATATTTAATACTAAAAAAAAGAACCCAAAAGTATCATTCCATGTCTGATATTCCACTAAGGCTAACTAAAGGAATTAGGTATTACAATACACCCTTACCAAGGGAAGGCAGCTGTTATGCTGGGGGAGGAGGCATTCATAATAACCTCCACTTAATAGCATGTAATTTAGCAGAACTTGTCAGTAAGGCCATATTCAAGGGTCAGCTGCAATTTCTTTAGTAAACTCCCAGTTGGATATTTTAATTCTCTGCCAAGTAAAATAATAATTGATTTTTCCTAAACAATATTCCTAGACCATTCATTGCTAATAGGACAAGCTTGCTCAATTAAATTTTCAGATTTAAATTCATGAGAAGGACTATCCTAAGGAGTCTCTAGAAAATACAGGTTAGTGAGCAATTACAGAGTTACAAAGAGCATTCAACTGACTGCATATAACAAAACTGTTCAAAGGCATGGGGGAGGAATAAAATGCAAACTCATGGAATCAAGGATATATACCAAAATCTTGATGATACTAAAATTATTCCAAACCGATT